ATTACAGGTATGAGCCACTGTGCCCAGCACTGCAACCTGTGTGAGAGAAAAATAAACATAACTGCTTTAAGTCACTGTTTGGATTTTTTTTTTTTGAGACAGAGTCTCACTCTGTTGCCTAAGCTGGAGTGCAATTTTGTTATCTTGGCCCACTACAACCTCCATCTCCTGGGTTCAAGCAATTCTGTGGCTTCAACCTTCAGAGTAGCTGGGATTACAGGCATGAACCACCACATCCGGCTAATTTTTGTATTTTTAGTAGAGACAGGGTTTCACCATATTGGCCAGGCTGGTCAAAGTCAGTGTTTTTTAAACATTTCTGTAGGGCACCAATGAAACATGTCACTCTGTAACTTTTCTTCTTTTACTTATTCATACCTCCACATTAATATATATTTAATAATTTTTGCTGTTTGATAGTATATTGGATTAAAAATGGCCATAATGGAAAACAGTCGGGCAGTTCTTCAAGAAGTTAAACATAGAATTACCATGTGATTCAGCAATTCCACTCCTAGGTATATTCCCCAAAGAAGTGAAAAAGGGTACATGAATGTTCATAGTAGCACTACTCACAATAGCCTCAAACTGAAAACAACCCAAATGTCCATCAAATGATACATGGATTATAAAAATGAGGTATACTCATATATGCAAGGGTGTCCAATCTTTTGGCTTTCCTAGTCTGCAGTGGAAGAAAAATTGTCTTGGGCCACATATAAAATACATTAGCAATAGCTAATGCGTTTTTTAAAATTGCAAAAAAAAAAACCTCATAATGTTTTAGGAAAGTTTACAAATTTTTGTTGGGTGGCATTCAAAGCCATCCTGGGTCATAGGTTGGATGAGCATTATATAATGGAATATTACTCAGGCAATAAAAAGGAATGGCCGAGTGCGGTGGCACACACCTGTAATCCTAGCACTTTGAGAGGCTGAGGCAGGTGGATCATGAGGTCAGAAGTTCAAGACCAGCCTGGCCAACATGGTGAAACCCCGTCTCTTAAAAAAAAAAATTTATTAAAAAAAAATGAAAAGGAATGAAGTCACAACATGGATGAATCTTGCAAATACTATGCTGAATGAAAGAAGCCAGTCTAAAAGGTCACCTACTGCATGGTTCCATTCCCATGAGATCTCTAGAATAGGCAAATCCACAAAGACAGAAAGCAAATGAGTGGTTAATGGAGGCTAGGGGTTGACAGGAATCAGATGAGTAATGAGTATTGGTTTACTTTTGGAGGGATGAAGATATTCTGGAACTAGAGAGTGGTGATGCTTGTACCATACTGTGAGTGCACCAAATGCCACTGAATTGTACACTTGAGAACGGTAAATTTGGAGTCATGTGAATTTTACCCTTCTCCCTTCCCCCCGTGGCCACAGATTCCTTGCAATTCCTTCCATCAAGAGAGTCTGAGATCTGGGCCAGGTGCGGTGGCTCATGCCTGAAATCCCAGCACTTTGGAAGACCATGGCAGGCAAATCACTTGAGTCAGGACCTCAAGACCAGCCTGGCCAACATGGTGAAATGCTGTCTTTACTAAAAATAAAAAAAATTTAAAAACCCCCCAAAAACCTGGATTCTCCTGGTCTCTCTACTAAAAAAAAAAACACAATTAGCTGGGTGTGGTGGTGGGTGCCTGTAATCCCAGCTATTTAGGAGGCTGAGGCAGGAGAATTGCTTGAACCTGGAAGGCAGAGGTTATAGTGAGCTGAGATCACGCCACCGCACAAGGCTGTAATCCCAGCACTTTGGGAGGCCGAGGCGGGTGGATCACTAGGTCAAGAGATCGAGACCATCCTGGTCAACATGGTGAAACCCCGTCTCTACTAAAAATGCAAAAAATTAGCTGGGCATAGTGGCGCGTGCCTGTAATCCCAGCTACTCAGGAGGCTGAGGCAGGAGAATCGCCTGAACCCAGGAGGCGGAGGTGACGGTGAGCTGAGATCACGCCATTGCGCTTCAGCCTGGGTAACAAGAGCGAAACTCCGTCTCAAAAAAAAAAAAAAAAAAAAAAAAGTCTCAGGTCTGGGATCTGTGCTTGCCTTAGGTCAGGCTTTGACCAATTAAACATGGCAGAAGCAACATCGTGTGACTTCTGCGCAAGTTCTCCAAGGGTCTTGCAGCTTTTGCTGTCACCCTAATGGACTGCTGAGACTGTCGTGGTGTAAACAAAGACCACGTGGAGAGAGTGAACCAGCGACCCCAGCCATCCCCACGAGCTCCTGCCCTTTTCTGGAGGCCACACAAGACACAGCTGAGCAGCTAGCTGTCCGACTGCAGTCACCTGAAAGAGCCCAGGGGACGGCACAGAGGTCAAGCCCCATCAAGCCACACAATTGTGAGAAATAAATTATTGTCTTCGGCCACTTAGTTTTAGGTGGCTTGTTACACAACAACAGACAACTAACACAAATAGTATGTCACTGCGCACATTTACCGTAGTTTGCTTAAACAATCTCTTTCTGAGAGGCTTTTAGGTTGTGTTCAGGTTTTTAACTTTTCTTTTCTCTGTTTTTTTTTTTTTTTTTTTTTTTGAGACAGTTTCACTCTTGTCTCCCAGGCTGGAGTGCAATGGCAGGGTCTCAGCTCACTGCAAACTCTGCCTCCTGGGATCAAGCGATTCTCCTGCCTCAGCCTGCCAAGTAGCTGGGATTACAGGCACCTGCTACCATGTCCAGCTAATTTTTGTATTTTTAGTAGAGATGGGGTTTCACCATGTTGGGGTGGTCTCCAACTCCTGACCTCAGGTGATCCGCCCACCTGGGCCTCCCAAAGTGCTGGGATTACAGGCATGAGCCACCGCGCCCGGTCAGGTTTTAAACTTTTCTAAGCAATTTTTGTCCTGGATATTCTTATAGAAAAAACTCTGTGCACTTAAGTGATTTTTCCTAATACTTCAACAGCATACACTTGGATTTGATGGAAGCTCTGGAAAAAAAAAAAATCGAAAAGTATTCCCCACTCATTCCCGAAGCAAAATTAATAGTGGTGATTTCAGGCAATTTCTGGTGGAGAAAACAAGGCCTTGCTAACAAGAGTTACGTAAAATTGGTCCTGGGATGAACCCCATGAATCTTGCTCCCACCCTTCCTGGATGGCCAGCCTCTTGTTGTTCTGTATTGCTCTTCATTTTATATTGCTTTGTTTTGTTTTGTATTGCTTTGTATTGCTTCCCTTTGGGTGGATGGGAGCCCTGGAGGTATAAATAATTTGACTTGAAAAAACTATGAAAACATACCTCTGCCAAGACCTGCGCCACTGAAATTGATGCTCTGAGCCTCCCCGGACTCTTCATAGAGTTTGTTTCCTGGATTAAATCTGTGAATGAGCATATCGATCAATAAAACTGAAGTCACATATATAGAGCAACAGAGACTTTGATGGAGATAGACATGCATGTTTGTGAGATTATCAAAAGATCTAGGGCAGCTGTGAGTGACAGATACCCTCTCATTAAGGTGACTGAATTATGACTATTCCATTAATAAATGCAGGGAAGTTGGGAGAAGCTGATGGGAGAGTGAAGAAGGTTTTGAAGTGTGAGAAGAACCTCACTAGAAAACTTCAACAGATGATTGGAAATGTCGTTGGGACTTCTTGTTGTTTGTTGTTTGTTGTTTTTGGGTTTTTTTTTTTTGAGACAGAGTCTGACTCTGTGGCCCCGGCTGGAATGCAGTGGTACTATCTCCACTCACTGTACCTGTGACTCCCAGGCTCAGGTGATCCTCCCAAGTAGCTGAGACTAGCAGGCAGGCACCACCACACTCGGCTAATTTTTGTTTTGGTAGAGATGGTGTTTTTCCATGTTGCCCAAGCTCAAGCAATCCACCTGCCTCAGTCTACCAAAGTGCTAGGATTACAGGCACGAGGCCCTGCGCCTGGCCTGTGGCTGGGAATTCTTATAGCTTGAGTTACAGATTTGCGGATCATTTATGAAGAGATGGCAGGTGAAGTACAGAGAATTCATGATAAGAAAATAAGAATGGGGGGAGAACTCATGCTCAGAATCCACCATATTTTGGAGGAAGAAGGAGAAGAGGAGCCGCAAGGGGGATAAAGCGGCCAATGAGATAGGAGAGCCAGACAAACGGACTGTCACAACGGCAAAAAAGAACCAGCTTCGTCATTTGTGGCACCCTGTGCGAAATGAAAAGGCAGGGCCCTTTGTTCAACAATGATTAAGAATATTGGCTGGGTGTGGTGGCTCATGCCTGTAATCCCAGCACTTTGGGAGGCCAACGCGGGCAGATCACCTGAGGTCAGGAGTTGGAGACTGGCCTGGCCAATATGGCGAAACCCTGTTTCTACCAAAAATATAAAAAAATTAGCTGGGCGTGGTGGCGGGCGCCTGTAATCCCAGCTACTCAGGAGGCTGATGCAGGAGAATACCTTGGACCCGGGAGGCAAAGGTTGCAGTGAGCCAAGATTGCACCATTGCACTCCAGCTTGGGCACCAAGAGCGAAACTACATCAGAAAGGTAAGGAGGGAGGGAGGGAAGAAGGAAATTAGGATATTAGGCTGGGCGCGGTGGCTCATGCCTGTAATCCCAGTACTTTGAGAGGCTGAGGTGGGTGGATCACTTGAGGTCAGGAGTTCGAGACCAGCCTGGCCAACACCGTGAACCGCCCCCTGCTGCCATCTCTACCAAAAATACAAAAATTAGCTGGGCATGGTGGCACGCGCCTGTAATTCTAGCTACTCGGGAGGCTGAGGCAGGAGAATCGCTTGAACCTTGGAGGCATATGTGGTAGTGGTGAGTGGAGATCATGACATTGCACTCCAGCCTGGGTGACAGAGTGAGACTCGGTCTCAAAAGAAAAAAAAAAAAAAAAGATAAAAGATAATATTAATGGCCAGTGCAGTGGCTAACACCTGTAAATCCCATGTTTTGGGAGGCCAAGGTGGGAGGCTCTCTTGAGGCTGGGAATTCAAGGCTGCAGTGAAGTATGATGGTGCCGCTGCACCCTCTGTCTCTAAAATAAAAATTCTTTTGTGCTCACTTTGCAGCACATATACTAAAATTAAAGCAAGACAGAGAAGATTAGCATGGTCCCTGCTCAAGGATGACACATAAATTCATGAAGCATTCCATATTTTTAAAAAATATATGTTAAAAACTTTTCAGGCCGGGCGCACTGGCTCACACCTGTAACCCCAGCACTTTGGGAGGCCGAAGCAGGTGGATCACCTGAGGTTAGGAGTTCGAGACTAGCCTGGCCAACATAGTGAAACCCTATGTCTACTAAAAATACAAAAAGTTAGCTAGGCATGGTGGTGCACTCCTATAGTTCCAACTACTTGGGAGACTGAGACAGAAAAATCACTTGAACCCAGGAGGTGGAGATTGCAGTGAGCAAAGATCAGGCCATGCACTCCAACCTGGGTGACAAGAGCGAAACCTCATCTAAAAAAAAAAAAAAAAGAAAGAAATACTTTAATTTAATTTAATTTTTAATTATGATCATGTTTGTTTTTAATTATGATAAAAATAAAATATACATACTAAGTGTATATATTTATGGGTACATGTAATGTATGGAGACAGGCATACAATGTGTAATAATCACATTGTTTGTAATTGTGATTGAGATATTCATCGCCTCACGGATTGATCATTTCTTTGTGTTATGAACATTCTAATTCCACCCTTTTAGTTATTTAAAAATTATTATTGCTATGGTCACCCTGTTTTGCTATCAAGTCCTAGTTCTTTAGTCATCCTATTAAGAAAAAGTTGTATTTGCTGTCTGATGCCTAACAAAAAAAATAAGTAAATAAATATATAAAATAATTGTAAGATAGGAAGAACAGAATATTAAACCTCTCAGGCGGTGGGGAGTTTAGGGCTCTGTGCAATTAACTATATGAGTTGCACACCTAGGAATCTTGCCCTGAAGCTAAGAAGTTAGAGAATTTTTAAAGAGGGCATGTCATGGAGAGTGAAATTGAAGAACAGGGTGTTGAATTTGATGATCTCAGGCCACAGTGACTTTCAAGAGAGTGGGGTGGGGGACAAAAATCAGATCATGAGGGGTTTAAGGGTTGATTGCTCAGAGGATGAAGTACAGACAGTGAAAAGTTGAGGATTTGAAGAGAGATGGTCCAGTAGTTCAGAGAGCAATTGGGTTAACGAACAGCTGTTTTCAAATAGCGCCGACACAGTCATATTTACTGGCTTGGATAATGAGCGGGGAAAGACTGAAGATGCAAGCGAGAGGAGTAAGTGAGGACACAAGGTTTGGAAGTGGCAAACATGCTGTGATTAACAATAGCAATGGAGAGATGAAAAACTTTGCAAAGTCAGTCTCTGAGCCACCCTGGAGTAATGAAAGAGAGAGGGCCGCAAAGACATAGAAACATCAAGAGAAAAAGCAAGATGTCAAACATAGCTCCGAGTGGGCCTAACGTATCCTCAGGGAGCGTTTCAGGGTTTCAAGGATTTATGTACTTTTTCTTTATTATACGTAACAGGACCAACACCAGACATGAAAACCGATTAATCCGTGAAACTAGCATGCCATGATTTTTGTAGGATATCACCTGTAGGAGGCATTCTTGCTGTAGTTTGAAGTGATGGGGATTTAGTTAGAATTAACTGTCCATCACATGCTCTCTGATGAGGTGAATTACATCCTAGCCCTAGCTCATCTTTTTTCTTTCCTTCTTCTTCTTCTTCTTCTTTTTTTTTTTTTTTTTTTGAGACGGAGTCTTGCTCTGTCGCCCAGGCTGGAGTGCAGTGGCATGATTTCAGCTCACTGCAACCTCTGTCTCCTGGGTTCAAGGGATTCTCCTGCCTTAGCCTCCTGAGTAGCTGGGATTACAGGCACGCACCATCACACCCAGCTAATTTTTGTATTTTTAGTGGAGACGGGGTTTCACCATGTTGGTCAGGCTGTTCTCCAACTTCTGGCCTTGTGATCTGCCCGCCTCATCCTCCCAAAGTGCTGGAATTATAGACATGAGCCACTGCGCTGAGCCACCTAGCTCGTCTTGTAGAGAAATATGACTGCTGGCAGAAATGAGTTCTTCCAGTGTCTTATCCCCATTTTAGTTCTATGTTTATTCTTCTGTACTTAATTAATTCTATTACAATGTGAAACATTTCAGGTATTTTTCTCGTGAATTTATTCTATTAAAACCACTCACAATTGTTTTCAGTTTCAGCGGGAAAAAATTCCCTTGAGAATTTCTGAATTGTAAGTTACGAGAAGTAAAAGAAACATGTGTGTAAAAATTTAAAGCACATTTAACAATTTCCCTTTAGTTTGTTCGAGAATGCAAAAACATTTGATGTTTTAAACATCCAGGATCGTAAGTGAACTCAAAGGATGGACTGCTGTTTAGTTAAGCATGAAAGGACTTTAGAATTGTCAGTTATTAACTTCCAATTTGTGTGAAAGAAACTTCTAGAACTTTCCCTTTCTGTAACTAGTAATTAAGCCATTATTCTAACAGGAGCAATTAAGGGGTGAGTATTTAATAAAAATAAAGATAATGGAAAGGACTCTACACCCCAAGACACATCAAGACAAGGACCGGCAGCTGCAGCAACAACAAAAGGAACTCGATTTGAATTCACAAAGGAAATTAGACAACCCATTTCAACTAAAAACAAACAAACTGTTGGCGGAGAACAAGGAAAGATTGTTATAACTTAACTCCTCGCAAATATACATATACAACTCTCCCTTTCAGTGTGGAAATGAACCAATCAGAATTAAAGTTTTGTTGATTGTGGATTAACATATGCCATTCAATAAGATAATTTGACTGGAGCTTTTGGGGTATTTTATTTTGAAAATGTGATACTCTGTTACCATGGTTGATTAGAAAGACAGGTAGGACAGACAGTCGAGATGGATTTGGCTCAAGGAAACGCACCTATCCTCCTATCACCATTCTTGTGCCACTGTCACTTCTCAGAGGGCAGGGTTTAATCGTTTCAGCCTAAAGTGCTTTTTCCAGTGGGTAGCACGACTCCCTCAGAGGAAGCACTTAAATTCTAAGAAATGGCAACAAGAGTGGATATTCTTAGAAATCTATTGATTTAAAATGCTTCCCAGTATCTGCCCAATCCTGTCAAAGCCCTTATAAATTTAACATGCTGCTTTTAAACAACTGATTCAACCCCAAATACTTGAGGGTTAGATATCCTATTTAGAACATGCATTGTGCTATTTGTTCAGCAAGTAGGAGTCTTGTTGCCAGTTTATCTTGCACCTTTTTGAGAACATGTGGGTAAACAGAAAAGCTGATGAATTCTGACAGCCTACAGTGGTGATTCTCAAACTCTGAACTGGTTATCTGAGTGCTTACTAAAATGTAAATTCTTTCAATATCACCCATAGGTAAAGAAATAAAAAATGCAAATTCTTAGGTAATCAATTTGCCACCGAGATTCGGAGTCAGTTTTTTTTTTTTTCTTTTTAGCAACTGATAAGGTGGTCAAGGGACCAGTATTTATAAAATACTGATGTAAGCTTTTTTTTTTTTTTTTTTTTTTTAACTTTCCTACCCTTTTAACTGATGCTGTAAGTTTTTTTGAAGGAATAAAATGATTCAGTAAAATTCAAACTTTACATACTGGATCTGGCTCTCGATTCTTTATGTGAATCAAATTGGGGGCAATTATTAACAATTTCTTCTTAATTGGCAGGAAAATGACTTTTAAAAAATTAGTAGACTTTCAAAAAAAACTTTCTGGTTTACAGAGAAATTGGGCAGAAAGCATAGCGTGTCCATGGACCCCTCCTAGCCCCTCATCCTCACTTGCCGCTATTATTGACATGTTGCATTAGTACGGTACATTTGTTATAACTGATGAGCTGATATGGAAAGCAACTTTTGAAATGATATGGCAAGGTTGCCCAATATGTCGGTGGCTGGGCTGATGCTGGGAACAAAGTCACACCCACACATTCACTTGAACAATCTTCCTGGTAATTCCTCTGGCAGAGATGTTGTGTGCAGATTAATACCATAATGACTGTAATTGTTCTGCCCCAGTATCTGAACACCAGTGGTTGCAGGACCCATTTGACTAAGCACTTTGGTTGGTGCCTGGGATTGTTGGTATTTATCCTGACTCTATCTTCACTTTCCTTGCAACCTTGGACACAGCTCAAATGGCTCAGAGCCTTAAGTGTGTAAACCTGTGAAACAGAACAATAGCATTGCACAATATCATCAACTAATTTACACCTTGACTCTTTCTAAAGAGAAGTGAGGTGGGAGCAATATTAATGCTGAAGAACTGCACTGGGATAAGTTACAAACATGCTTGACTTTCCCCGTAAGGATTACAGAAGGATATTTCATTCATTCATTCATTCATTCATTCACTCATGCTGTGAGACAGCCTGGGGATATGCAATTTAAAGCATGATCCTTCCTGCAAGAAGCCAGTGTTTTCCCAATTGTGGATAGGAAGGACACCAAGAAAAAGATCCTTATAACATGATATAGTTTCCCCAAAAGTCCTAGGAATAAAACCTAGAGTGAGTATCTAGCCCAGTGGTAAGGGGGAGCTTGGGTGGAGTGTGTGGAGTAGTATCTTTGGGAAGGGTTTCTTCCCCTGGAAGATGTGACTTTCTGAGCTGAGTTTGAAAGGTTGACTAGCAGTTGGCAAATTCTCTGGAGAGAGCGTCTCAGATATTTTGTGGTGAAGAACCAGCCATTTTTGTTCCCAAGTCGGCCAGGTACCAATACACTGCGGCGCCAGGTGTGACTCACCACGTGAGTCTGACAACACCCAAACTGGTTTATACTTGGTTCAAAGAGTCCACCGATCACGTGCTTGGATGTCGTGGCACTGTTAAATTGCTACAAAAGTTTACTCTTAATTTCTCTACTTGTTACAAACAAGCTTTCGTTCAGCACAGAACCAGGTAGCATCTGAGGGGCACCTGGAAGCCTGTTAGAAAAGCAGATTGTCCCAGCCTGCGTTCGAACAAGGTCTCCAGGTGACCCTCGCACAGCATAAAGTTAGAAGAACTGCGCTAGAGGAAGCGGCGCTCAGTACCAGGTGGGTTTGATCATTCATCCATCTCAGTGCCATCTGCCATCTCTGCTTCCTTGAGGTCTAGGAAAAGAGTTACA